AGCCAAAACAGTAAATCATATAAAATGACTACCCTTTACTTACTCTTTTGGTTATTATGACTCACAATACATTGTTTCAATGCTATTTTCCTTCTCTCTCTCTCTCTCCCTTTTTTTTTTTGCATTTACTAACCTTTTCTCTTTCATTTTTATGTTCTCATGTTGTGAGAGTCATAGCAACATAGATTGGTAAACTTTCTAATAAGGAACTTTGTGGCAAAATATTTTCTGTGGGACCCTAAGACAACCATTCTTGGGGACATTTTAGATCAGCGTTTTTCAACTTTGGGAACTTTAAGATGTATGGATTTCAACTCCCAGAATTCCCAACCAACTTTAGACGGTTGATGAAAAACAAATGGTATTTCTCCCCACATCACAAAGTTAGTATATGATCCAAGAGAAGCCTAAAATGTTAAGAAATGCACAACCAACCAACTCAAACTTGTAAGAAATAGAAAAGATCACTGGTGACCAACATATTCAGTAACCATGAAATCATGAAATTCTAAGCAGGGAATTTTATATGTACAGCAGCAAATACTACTGTGCTATGGATGTATACATCTAAACATTCAGAAATTCATTTTCTGACCCTTGATTATAATTGCACTCTTTTGGTAATAGTTCAGGCCAAAACACCTATGCTCACAGACTGAGGTTTCAGTGTGTTTATGTAAAACTTTAATATCTTTCAAAAAATTCATTGGAGAGATTTTTGTTGAACACAATAGCAATGCAATGACAAATATCCTCAAAAACAGCATAACAGGCTGGCTGGCTGGAACATAGAACAGCAATATTTTAGATATATGCAAAGTCTTCCTGTCTATTGTCTATATAGTACTGGCAGAGAACTTTGGGAACTTAGACATCTGCCATGGAAAGGTCAAAATCTGGCATTTTACAGCAGCATCTGCCTGGACACTGAAAACAGATTGTTGCTGTACTTGTTTGGATTTAGCAAGGCTTCTGCCTTGTTCACACTAATTTCTGCATTAATAAAATGTTTACATAAGTACCATATTGTCCAATATGCTTATCTATTTTCCACGAAGGAGATACTATTTTTTTTTTATGAAAGCTAGAGTAATTCAAGTCTTGCATCCATTTTTTTAAAGTAAATAGATTTAGGCTGTCATTTTTTATTCATACTGTGCCATCAGCATGTAGCAACTGCTGTAGCCAACATGAAGGTTGCAACAGTAAATTTTATTATAGACTGGTAATTTAATTGAACAGATTTACATTTGAATAAATGGCCTCCTCTGGCATGCTGCATGGGAATATTTTTTTTAAAGTATACATTTAAAACAAACCTGAGGTACTCAATCCTATTCTACAATATACCCAAAAAGGGTTATAGCAAGAATAAATATGCTTGATTCTCCCTTCTACTGTATTTTGTAAGCACCCCAAAGTAGCAAAATAAGCAGCATATTTTCCTTTTTTTTAAAGTACAAACTTTAATTGTACAGTATTTGCTTCTTAAATATAATTTAATGACTCCCTTTATTTCACAAATATTAAAACATTTAATTAACTGAGCAAGACTGAATAAAGATTAAGGGTGACATCTCCTGTTAGCCCCTGAAACTGGGTCTTAATATGTTGTTTGGGTCAAATCTGTGAAATGTAAAAGATAGTTAAGAAATGCTCCAACACTGGAAGTTTTTAAGAAGATGTTGGATAACCATTTGTCTGAAGTGGTGTAGGGTTTCCTGCCTAAGCAGGGGGTTGGACTAGAAGATCTCCAAGGTCCCTTCCAACTAGGTTATTCTATTCTATTCTATCTCTGATGATAGGACAGATATTCTCAATAACTAGCTTTTTGAAGGAATTTCTAGCATTGTTAATGAGCATCAACTCATTAGTTACCAAATATAAAACTATTTCTTTGAGTAATTAAGTTGCACATTGATTCATATTATAATGAGTTTCTTCCACTTCTCTGGAAATTGGATCAACCAATTGTCTCCCTGAAGCTCAGTTAAGAAAAAAAAATCATGGTAATATTTGGAAATCAACCATTTAACAAACAAAGTAAGTCAAATAAAGGTCAATTCCTGCAGATGTCACATATTCTTTAAGGCAGAAATGTCCTCAAATTTCATGCATTTCAAGACTAAACAATTAGAACTGCTGAATCCTGCTGAACCCAATCCATGGAACCTATTATACATATCTGAGATATCACACTTTAAAATGAAATAAAGCCTAAAATGAAATGAAACAAGAATTATTTGTTTTGGGAACCTCCATCAGTCTAAAAATTGATATCTGCAGAAGCATATTCTATCAGGTACCAGCACCTACATAAAGAAGGGAAGTAAAGTTCCCTCAAGGAACATAGGGGATACTTTTTGCCACAGCTATCTTATTGTAACTTCATTTTTAAATTTCATTTTGTTTTCCAACGATGGAAGAGATTAAACAGTGAGTGTTTAACCTTCAATATTTCCCTAGCTTAAATTGCTATTTGAAGCTGTCATTAGCCATGCTGGGGAAAAAGAAAGGCATGGTTTTGCACTTATATTTTCAACTGTGAAATATCGCTTTGTTGTTTGATGATGGGAGATCCCTAATCCCTAGTTTGGGGATGAATTTTCTACGAGAATACTTATCTTGAAGATAGAGGACAAAAAGCCTTCTATTTACAAAACAAAACAAAAGAAAAGAGAAACAGTGACATAAATAGCTTGAGGAAAAGATCAACGTTGATCACTTTCACAAATCTTGGTTACTGAGATGACAGGAAAAAAACAAAAACCTATTATATGAAGGGAAAATGGCACTATGACTCAATCTGCACAATGCCTTTTTCCTTCAGCTGGACAAATAGATTTAGCAGTAACAACTGACTGAAAAAGACTCATATTCAGGATGTTGTTCATGTTTGACTTCATGTTAAGCTTCCATTAAAGGTTTTTGTATTATAGTTTCATAACATGAAACAAATTAGGGTTTCCATATGGATGAAGCCCTGTCCAGATCTGAATAAAAAAAGCCAAATCCTGAATCTCTTAATAAGGTAGAGTCCCCACTGAATTAGAAAGGAATTTATTCAGCATAAAACTAAAGGCAGCAGGATTTGGCTCACAGGACCATCATGCCTGCCAAAGCAACCATACACAAAATGAGGTTTATTCTAAGTAAGTATAATCCAATAAGAGTATGTCTGAAAGGGTGTGATAGGCCTAATTTTTCTGCTATTGCTCAGTTAGTCCATGTTTGTTTATTATATAGATTTGTAAGGTCACTCAACTCAGCAATGACTCTACATGCTGACTTGTGAACAACAGTCATAGGGAAATTGGTTTCTGAGGAAAACAAAATGTGAACTTCAGTTTCTGAATGGAAAAATCAAACCTTATTTTCAATGCAAACTGCATTTTAGATACAGTAGATGCTTAATCTACATCATGGCCTTTTGGGGTATCTCTATATGGATTTCTCTGAATAGGACTGGAAATTTGTGACACTGTATGTAATTGCATCATATTTGCTTGAAGCAGGCATACATGAACATATAAAATTGTATTTTTCTTGAGGAATACAACCTAAATCTCCAGTATTCTGTTTTTTTTTTTAAATCTAAACTGCTATTCTATACCTACATCCAGCAGTAACATCTACTCAATTCAAAGACATTTCTAAACAAACCTCTAAATGACCAAATAGTTAAAATCTGTAGTTCTCATTTTTCTTGCTTTCACCAATACAAAAGTTTGCCTTTTTCCCCCCCCTAGATTAAGGACTGTTGAGCTGGTTGATCAGAAATCAATATTAAGTTACAATCGAATGGAAAATGAACTGAAATAATGGCATTCTAATATATGACAAAAAAGCAAGTCATGAAAATAATGTCTGTGAAAAAAATGGGTCCCTATCTAAGAGGTTGATTGTAATGCATAATGCTGCTGCAGGAAGATAGATGCATTACAAGCAATTTTAGATTTCAAAACCTCAGGTTGACCAACTGCTGTAGGAGATGTGTAGATCATATCATACTACCCAAAAGAACACAAAAAATAGTGTCTACTTGTTCAATATTTTTGTATTTGATGGGCAAGCACCATCAAAATATGTCTTAAAATTATAGGAATTGTGTATTGCATTCTTAATAGTTGTAACAAGCTGGGTTTCGAAGAGGCAGAGGAACCAGAGATTAAATTGCCAGTATTCACTGGATTATGGAGAAAGCAAGGGAATTCCAGAAAAACATCTATTTCTGCTTCATTGACTATGTATGCTAAAGCCTTTGATTGTGTACTGTAGATCACAATAAACTATAGCAAGTTCTTAAAAAATGGGAGTACCAGACCACCTTACCTGTCTCCTGAGAGACCTATATACAGGTCAAGAAGCAACAGTTAGAACTAGACATGGAACAATTCATTGGTTTAAAATACGGAAAGGAATACGAACTGGCTATATATTGGAAAAGATTGAAGGCACAAGGAGAAGGGGAGGGGGGACAGAGGATGAGATGGTTAGATAGTATAATTGACACAATGAACATGAATTTGAGCAGACTCTGGGAGACAACGAAGGACAGGGAGGCCTTGTTTATCATGAGGTCAAAAAGAGTCAGGCAAAACTCAGCAAATGAACAACAACAAATTATCTACCTGCTGTTCTGATTTGTTAACTTAAGAAGTCATAGATGACTACTGTAACTGCCTGAGTTTTTAAGAACATTATGTACATTGTATGAAGCATTTTCCCTCAGATGTTCATTTTATAGGTATTTCTATTGGATAACAGCATTTGAAAAAGTACAAATATCAAAAAATAATGTTCAGCTGATGTATCAGAAAAAATACACTTTGCTTGCATAAAACTGAAGAAATTTATCTCCATCTCTAAAGAGCAATTATATTGTTTTATTTTAAAAAACAATCATAACATCTGAAAATGATACATTGCATTTCTCAGATTAAATTATAGTTCTAACATTGTTTATGAACAATTCTATAAAGGGAGTTTATCAGTCTTACCTTCTTTCAGCATGCCAACTTTTAGACACTTCATAAAACGACAAGCTTGACAGGATTTGCGTCTGCGCTTTGTGATTTCACATTCATTTGTTGCTGGGCAGCTATATTCTATGTTACCTAAAATATTTAAAGCACATAAAAAGAAAAGTCCATTAAGAAAAATCAGCTATAATTTTGTTAATCAACTAGAAGAAATACAATTGTAACTGAAAGTCTAAACAAAAAAACCATGAAATTGAAAATGTTAGTAGCTGGGCTTAATTTTTTTTTTTACAGACTTTCTTTTGTTTTTGCAAACAGTATCTTATTCTAAAGAAAACTACAAAAGCAGAATATTAAAACCACATATCTTGACACAGTTTAAAAGTTTAAGTGGGGTATTGTTTAGCATATTTTTTCCACAAAATAGTAAGTGCAGAGTTGTTCTACCTAAACATTTTAAGCACTTTGCTATTGTATGTGTCTGCAACCTTTTATTCCCTAAGGTTTTGATGTGAATATAGCACCCAAATTTGCTTCAGCCAGAATTCATGGTGGAATTCTTAAAAAGAAATTCACTAAAGCTTCAGAGACTTATAAAATGACATACTGGGCTGGATAATACAAAACAAATATAAAATCATCAAAGGTAGAGAGCAAAATTTTTTTTCCTATTTCTAGACTTCAGAATCAAATGCTGGAAGAATTTCATTCAATTTATGGAATTCACTGCCATCAAATAAAACGGTGATAATTGCTTAATATGTTTAAAAAGGCCGAGATGCATTTAGGAAGAAGAGAGTTATCAATGTCCTTTTATTAAGATACATTTTGTTGAGAAGGGAGAATTGGGTTTGAGAGGCAGAATACAACTGAATATCTCCTCCTGGGACCAAAAACCATGAACCTTTTCTTGATATTATATTCTGCTTAAGGAATTCCTGGAAGCATCTGACTTTATGAAGTAGGAAAAAAATTCTGCACTTGCTAGAGCTTCAGTCTGCTTTAAGAGAGGTTCTCTTGTGTTCTGTTTCGATATCATATGCTAATTCAAACAGAGGAATAGTGTTTTTTAAGATTAATTTAATTGTTTGACTAATATATATGTTCTTACTGCCTTGGACATTCACAATTACATTTAGCAGATGCAATCTGTGGTAGTAGTACTTCATGGAAAGAATAAAAATGCTTTCCCCCAACAGTGTTTCTCCATCTTGCTTTAGAAGTATTTTGTTACTTTCTAACCCTTTCCCCTTGTGATTAAGTGCATTAGTATCTTAATGAAAATGCATTCTCTTTATTGCTCTCTTGGGAAGTGGGAGGTCATCACACCAAATGCATAAATTGCCATCAGAGACAGCCCAGGCATAATTGCAATTTTGCTGCTCCATGTTTGCTGCACTCTGAGCCTCAAGACGTCCCCTGAAACATGCACAGATTCTAGTAATTAGCATAGAGTATGCCTGGGACCAGAGCATTGATGAAATATTTCAGAGTTAATCACACTTTGTAAACACTGATTTATATTGACTACCTTTCTCCAGACTGATGTCTCCTCATTAAATATCACATTAGCAGGTTGCAGGATTGTACAGATTCAAATTCTCCACAACTGCTAACTTAACGAGGGGTAATACTATGCGCAACACTATGTCTGTCTGTTATAACATATAAATGATGAACTAGAGTGAAAACAATGCATTAAGAGGGAATTCAGTATCTACTGTGATAGAGCACAATTAAAAAATGTGCATTGGTGGCATCAAAAGTTTAGACCGAACTATATACTCCCATGGATTCCCTGATCTCCTATTTTGAAAGAAACTGTTTACATATATATTACAGCAATTCTATCAAACACTAAAAATAAAAAAAATGTACTCTTAATAACACCTACATAAAATTTAATTCCACTAAATCTAATAGATACATCTGTGTATTTATTAAAAATAGCAACACTGATTTAAAATGTATAGTAATGTCTTTATTTTAGAAACAAATTACAGAATACTTGTACCAACCTAGCAATGCAGTCTGCCCTTTTTCTGCTTTGATGGACAGATAGACAGACGAGCAGGCACTCCTTTGGCAGAGAAAGTACCATTTTTGATGTCTGCCTAAAGTAAATTTAAGTTGAAATGTGTTGCTTTGATTTTTGTAGTGAGGATTAGATGTGATATTTAGATGTATACTTATTATCATCATCTCCATCTCTACTATAATCATGATGACTGTTAGTCCATGCACACAATTAGTTAAAAACAAAACCTGACAGAAATTGCAACATCTGAAGAAGCCATTTAGGCTATTAAGCCCAAATCACTATTCAATATTGGAATCCAAATTAGAACATTCCAGACAGATGGCTTTCTAGTCTGGTTCATCATAACCTACCAAAGGATAACTGAGTTCACCATAGACCTACCATCAAAAAGAGAGGGGTTTTTAATGACGTTAACCCTAAAATCTCCCTTTCTATATCTTAAATCCATGGGGCACAATGCTCAGTGGTTAAAGAAAACTGTCAGGAAAACTGACAGCCTGGATTCAAATTCCAAGCACTGTGCAACAGGTTGAGAGCTCTTTACTTGCTCCAATTTCTCCCAACCTAGCAGTTAAAACACATGCAAATGCAAATAGATAAGTAGGTATCACTTTGATAGGAAGGTGAGAGCCATGCTGGTCCCTCGGCTAAGAAACGGAGATGAGCACCATACTAGTAGTGGGTTGCTACCGGTTCATCCTAGTTCGGGTGAACCGGTAGTGGAGGCGGCGGGAGGCTCCACCCACTTGCCCAGATGTCATCAAATACGCTCTGTGCATGCACAGAACTGGCGCATGCATGAGCGAAGCAAGCATGTGTGCGCAAGCGAACCAATAGCAAAGGTAAGTGAAACCCACCACTGCACCATACCCTAGAGTTGAACAAGATAGGACAGGGAAAACCTTTAGCTTTATATCTTAAATCCATTCATTTCAAATTCTGTACTCTGAGGTGAAAGAAAACAGGTCTTGATCTTCTTCAGGTGACATTCTTTCAGATGTTTAAAGAGTACTGTTATATCCTTCCCGGTCACCTTCTTTCAATTTTATACTCTATTCCTTCAATCTCTCTTCACATGGTTTGTGGCAGGAAGCTTGCAATTTCTTAACTCTTATGAAATTAAGAATGTCTTAATTCTTTATTAATCATTTCTCAACCTCTTCTAATTGCTCTGATTCCTTAAAACGTAATGTCCAAATCTGGAAATCATACTCAACGTGGTACATGATCAAAGCTGAACTAAACAGAATATAGTAGATGGGTTAACATATTGAGCAGAATAGTGCATTACAGGTAGTTCTCGACTTACGACAACAATTGACCCCAACATTTCTGTTGTTAAGTGAGACATTTCTTAAGTAAGTTTTGTTCCGTTTTATGACTTTTCTTGCCTCAGTTATTAAGTAAATCACTTCAGTTGATAAGTTAGTTACCTGGTTGTTAAGTGAAACTTGCTGCCCCATTGACTTTCCTTGTCAGAAGGCTGCAAAAGATGATCACGTGACCTTGGGTCATAAATATGAACCAGTTGCCAAGCATCTGAATTTTGATCACATGATTCTAGGGATGCTACAAAGGTTGTAACTGTGAAAAATGGTCCTAAGTCACTTTTTTCAGTGCTGTTGTAACTTCGAATAGACACTAAATGAACTGTTGTAAGTCAAGGACTACTTTTCAAATGAAAAGTGGACGAAGTGCTTTAGATCTTGGTGGGGGTGGCTCCTCATTGTATTTTTCAATAGCTTCTTAAAGAATGAATCAATAGATTCATTCATGAATCAATAGACTAGTTTCTATAACTGTAATATAGCTATATAGAGCTATATAGCTCTATAGTAAATTATTGCATGGGAAAGAACAGAAGTCCATGCTTAGTTCAGTAAGGACAATTGTCCTTGAAAGTCCTCCTGGATATTTTTTTTCTTGATGATCTATAAATGAAAAAAGAAAACTTGTACTAAAAATGTGCTGTTCAAGCACCCTTTACTATTACATCAATTTTAATTATAGTTCACATTTCAAGTACACTAACAACTAAAGGTTCCTTGTATTATTTTTCTTTTCTTTTTTTTTTTATTAAAAATGTTTGTAGATTCCTAGTTCAGCCAGATACATACAGTATAGAGTTTTATAGAGCTTTTATGACTTGGCATTTTCCTTTTATGCTTTCAAAGTCAAAAACAATGGGATCTGAGAGAGAATATTTTTAATCAAATATACTATATTATTTGAGGGGAAAACTATTAATGATAGAAATTGGAATGTGCCTAGTTTTTCTAGGAGTTGGAAAAATGTTCTGTAAGGAATAATAACATAACAGCCTGGCAGCTAAGGTTTTTTTTAATTCAGGAAACAAGAATGATAGTACAGTTTATAATACCTTCTGATTGCTCTTTCGAAAACTTATTTAAAGTTCTTATTTAGTTTTCAGGCAATATAGTTTTCTCATTTACAAGCTTACATCTAACTGACTGAAAGAATAACAAACTATGTGTAACTGAAGTGCAAGGGCATAATTTGCATTTTTTTTATACTTTGGCAACAAAAAACTCAGCAACATAAAATATAGTGTGATGTTTTAAAATGAAAATTTTTGCTTCGTGCAGACAGTGCCCTGAAGTAAGATTCATGTCAGCCAGAAGTTTCTATACTTAACCCACATAATACAGGAATGTTTAAAAGTGCTTTTGTGAGCTTTCTAGCAATGTTACTAAACATACAGCTTTAAAATAATACAACCAGAGGTAAGCTTGAGGAAACAAATAAAAATAAAAGTGCCAAAAGAAATGATAATGATAATGATAAGCTTTCCTCTCATTATAGGCCATAAAGTCATTGTTGACTATTAATGACCATAGAGATAGATCTTTTCCAATATACTGTAAATGGCAAAGCTACTATTCAGATCAATGTAAAAGCAATCCTAAAGGGTGCTGATTTTTAGATAATGAAAAAAGTAGATCATTTCCTCTGACCCACAATTATTTTATAAATGTGGGTACATGGATATGTGTATATGTGTATTGATGGTGAGACACTTTTTTTCTTTTCTGAAGTAGCCAAGTTTATATAAGGACAGCAGAATAATTAAGGG